CCTGATATAACAGTAGCTTCCATAATTTCTCTTTCCTTGAAATAGTTGAGCATACCTTCATACACAATAGTATCAAACATAACAAAATAGTATAAAACCATTAAAGAGAATGAAAAAATTACAGGGATTTCAGAACCAAGTAACAGAAAACAAACAATGGTTACTATATTATCTCACTGCCCATAAAATATTAATTTATACTATCACACATAATAAAATCCAATAACATAAACATGATAGAACCAATGAAAACAGAAGAATAAAAGCATGGTAGAACTTCAAACCAAGATGATATTAAATCAGCACTAGCTAGTATAATGACTTGTTTTCTTCAAAATAGCTGTTCATACCATCACAGATAATAAAATCATACAAACCAGGATAAAACTGTTCCAACTAATGAATGGAAAGATTATAAAGCTTCAGAGCAATGTAATGGGGAATCATGATTACCACAAACTTTTATGTACTGTTACCATTTCTTAGACTAGGGAGACTATACAGTATTTATACATGTGAGTTTGATTTATTTCACTTATGAGTATGGTCTCGAGCTGCGTCCATTTATTTATAAATATCTCAATGTGATCATTCTTTATAGCTGAGTAGTACTCCACTGTATAAAAATACCACAACTTTTTATCCATTCCTCAGTTGATAGACACTTAGGTTGTTTCCAAGATCTGGTTCTTACAAATTGTGCTGCTATAAACATGGGTGCACATATATCACTGTGATATAATGTTTTCAGTTTTTCTGGGAATATGCCTAGAAGTGGAATAGTTGGATCTAATGGGACTTCCAATCCCAGCTTTTTGAGGAATCTCTAGACTGACTTCCACAGTGGTTGCAACAGCCTACATTCTCACTTAACAGTGCAGGAGAGTTCCTTTTCCCCCACAACCTCAGCAGCATTTGTTGTTTGTAGTTTTCTTGATACTGGTCATTCTTTCAGGGTGAGATGAAATCTCAGTGTGGTTTTAATTTGCATTTCTCTAATGACTAATGATGGTGAACATTTTTTCACATATTTATTTGCCATTTGTATTTCTTCATCTGATAGCTGTGTATTCATGTCAGATGCCCATTTTTAGATTGGGTCTTTGAATTTCGGGGGTCTGATTTCTTTTTAACTCTTTTTTTTTCTTTTCAACTCTTTATATTTTTTTAAACAGAAGTCCTTTGTCTGAGGGACAGTGCCCATAGATTTTTACCCAGTTTGTGGGTTTTTTTTTTCATTATGCTGGAGATTTGTTTTGACATGCAGAAACTTTTTAATACGATGTTATCCAAGTTATTGATTTTGGGAAATATTTCTCGTGCATTTTGATTCCTGTTCATGAATTCTCTACCTACCCCTATGTATGCAAGATTTTTAACCAATTTTTCTTCCAACAGATTTAGTGTTTCTGATTTAATATTTAGATCTTTGATCCGTTTAGATTTTAGTTTAGTACATGATGATAGACATGCATCTCATTTTAATTTTCACCATATGTAGAGCCAGTTTTTTTCTAGCACTATTTATTAAAAACACTGTCATTCTGCCAGTGAACATGTTTGGCCCCTTATCAAAGACAAGGTGGTTGAGTTGTGGTTGTATCTTCTAATCTATTCCATTGATCTTTAGATCTGTTTTTATTTCAGTACTATGTTGATTTTTTTACAGGAGTTTTGTAGTGTAACTTCAGGTCAGGTATTGTGATGTCTCCTGTCTTGCCTTTGCTTCTTAGAATTGCCTTTGCTATTCTAGGTCTCTTCTGATTCCAAATGGATTTTAGGAGTGATTTCTCTAGATCTGTGATTATGCTAGTGGATTTAATTGGAATTGCATTGAATCTGTAAAACAGTTTTGGGAGAATGGCCATTTTCACAGTATTTATTCTTCCTATCCATGAACAAGGCATGTCTTTCCATTTTCTGAGACATTTTTTGGTTTCTTTTTTTGAAATATTATAATCTTCCATGAATATATCTTTTACTCCTTTCATGAGATTAATTCCTAAGTATTTTACTTTTTGGACGCTAATGCAAAGGCTGTAGTTTCTCTTATTTCTCTCTCAGTGATTTTGTTGGTAGTGTATAGGAATGCTATTGATTTTTGAGTATGGACTTTGTATCCAGCTACATAGTTGAATTTACTTATTTCTAGGAGTCTTTCAATGGTGTTTTGGGGCTCTTCTATGTAGAATATAGTGTCTGAAAATAATGATAATTTAACTTCCTCTTTTCCTCTATTTATTCCTTTTACTTCTTTCTCTTGTCTAATTTATCTGGTTAGTATTTCAAGTATTAAGTTACTAAGAGTGGTGATAAGGGACATACCTTTCTTGTGCCTGATTTAAGATAAAGGCCTTTAGCTTTTGGCTATTTAATATGATGCTGGCGGTTGGTTAGTCATAGACGGCCTTTATCATATTGAGGTGAAGACAATCTATTCCAATTTTCTGTGAGGTTCTTGTCATGAATTAGTGTTGGACCTTATCAAAAGCTTTTTCTGCATCCATAGAAATGATATGTGATTCTTACTTTTGGCTGTATTGTTGTGGTGGGCTACATTTCTTGATGTATTTATGTTGAACCATCCCTGCATGCCTCACATGACTCTCACTTGATCGTGGTGTATAATCTTCTTGATGATTGGCTGCATCCTGTTTGACAATATTTTATTGAGTTCTTTGCCTCTATGTTCATTAGGGAGATGGGCCTGTAGTTGTCTTTTTTAGTAGGGTCTTTTTCAGGTTTTGATACGAGTGTAATATTTGCTTCCAGGAATGACTTAGGAAGAACTGCTTCCCTTTCAATATCATTGAAGGGTGTGAAGAGTGTTGGTATTAAATCTTCTTTATTTTTCTGCAGTGAATTCATCTGGGCCTGGGCTCTTCTTTATAAATAAGTACTTAAATATATTTTCAATTTCATTAATAGAAATTGGGTTATTCAGCAGTTTTATATCTTCTTGACCCAGCTTGGGTAGTTCATATGTTTCTAGGAATCTGTCCATTTCTTCTCTGTTATCGAACCTATGAGAGTATAAGTTTTTGAAATAGGTGTTGATGAACTCCTATATTTCCACAAAGTCTATAGTGATTTCACCTTTTACATTCCTTATTGGATTAATATGGTTCTTTTCTTTTGTTTTTTAATAAGGTTGTCTAGGGGCTTATCAATTTTATTTATTCTATCAAAGAACCAACTCTTTGATTCATTGATTCTTTGAATTGCTTTCTTAGTCTCTGTTGCATTAATTTCTGCTCTGATTTTTATAATTTCCTCCCTTCATTTGGCTTTTGACTTTACTTGATTTTCTTATCCTAGATGTTTGATGTGTAGTATCGAGTTGTTTATTTGTGTTCATTCTGTTTTCCTGATATGGGATCTCAGTGCAATAAATTTTCCTCTGAGGACCACTTTCATTGCATCCCACAGATTCTGGTAAACTTCATTTGAATTTTTGTTTGCTTCTAGTAATTTTTAATTTCTTGTTTAATTTCCTCTGTGACCCATTGATTGCACAAGAGTGTATTTGTAGGGAGCGTTTTTGAATAGCTGCTGCTGTCCTGCCCCTCCTGCCTGAGGGCATTTTGTGTGTCAGCCTACATTTCCCATGATCCTCCCCTTGCCTGCAATGCACATGACAAGCAAACTTCCTGTTTCAGCCTGCCTACATTACCCATAATCCTCTCCTGCTTACATCATATAACCGAATGTGACGATGACCTATCAGATTAAGCCTTCTTCCTGCCTATGGCCCGCCCCCACCCTATATAAGTTGTAGCCATTTTAAAAATAAACGAGACTCGATTGGAATCTCATCCTGTCTCCATCTCTCTTTTCTCTTGTCCTGCCCCCATCCCCGATCCCCTCTCCAGGTTGAGACCCATAGATTGGTCCGCAGGCCGGATCATGTATTATTCAATTTCCATGTGTTTATGGGGTTTCTGTAGTTTCCTTTATCATTAATTGCTAGTTTCATGGTGCCATGATCCAATAAAATGCATAGGGTAGTTTCAACTCTTTATCTGTCTTTTCTCTCTAACTGCTTTATTATTCTTTTTTTATCTTGGATCTCAGTGATGGTGATTATTATATGGGTGTAGTTTTATTTTTGTTATGGCTATTTGGAATTCTATATGCTTCACTAATCTGTATGTCAGTTTCTATTCTCATGTTTGGGAAATTTTCAGTTATTACTTCTGTAAATAGACTTTTGATATCATTTGTGTTGTCTTCTTATTTTTCATTTATCCCTATCAGTCTTATTTTATTTTCTTTGCATCATCCTGCAGGTGTTGAATTGTTAGTTCCTGATTCATTGTTATTTTTAAAAGATCCTTCCTTTACTATTCACTAGCTGCAGTCTTGTCTTCAAGGTCTGAAATCTATCTTCACTGTTGAGGCAGTTTTGACAACTTTCGATGGAATTTTTGATTTCCTGTATATCTCTTTGAATCTGCTTCATTTATTTTGTTTGTTTCTTATATTGTTCATCCAGATAGTCTATCATTTTGTTTTGTTCCCCTAATTTTTTAACTGTGTCTTCTTTAGATGTGTTCAGCATTTCTTTCATTAATTTTATCATTTCTCTTTTACCTGGAAGGTTATTTCTAATTTGAATTCCTTTAAAGCTTCCTGTAGTTGCTTCTTTCTTTCAGTTGCTATTATTTCAGGTGTTTCAGGTGTATGGCATTTATTTTCTTCTGTGTATATGGCTCCTAGGCCATGCCCCCTGTTCTTGGAGCCAAATGAGTGTGGACTGAAACCTCCAAAAACTGTACGAAATAAACCTTTGCTTTCCCAACTTTGGGCTTCAGGTATTTTGTCTCAGCGACAAGTAAAAAGTAACTAAGACATGATCTATCCGTAAAAGTTAGTGTATTAAAATCAATAAAAGCATGACAATCAAGGATAAGGCAAAGTAAGCTGAATCACATAACAAAATCTGGTTGTAGTAGAAGTAAACAAACAAAAAATACAATAAAATTCATAGAAAAAGAAAATACTACAAGTGTTTAAAAACTGTAAAGGTCTAATGTCAAGAAGTAATTGTTCTGCTCCATGGAAATCTTTAGTAAAAAGGCAAAAGATTTATACTATTTGAAGACAAACTGCATGTATATTTAAGTGTATAAGATAGGCAACCATATTACTGAGTTTTATTGGATCATTGAACAGAACTGTTTGCAGTCTTACTGTTTGAATGTCCACTTTATATGCTTTAATTTTGTAACTTGAACAACTATTTCTAAGATCACAATATGTAATCTATCAAGTAGTGATTTCCTACTGTTTATTTTTTCTGAAATTCTGTATAACTTGTACCCTTTTTCTGTTTTTTTTCTTTTTTCTCCTCAAATAAATTAAAAAAAGAAAAAAAGAAGTAATTGTTCCTTCATTACTCAAATAAATTCAGTAGTCTAACCTAAATTCTGGCTTAGAAAATCATTGAGAGTTGTATCACAATATTTATGCATTTAGAAAAAATAATTTTAATTTAAGAAGGTTCTTTTCTATGAGAATGTGTTTTATCTCCAAATCTATGTGAAAAATTTCTTTCTGGCCTTAACAAAATAATGTAGCACTTAGGTACAAAGATGCAGCCCAGTAGCCCTGCACTGGAGGCCAAGATGGAGAAGACCTCCATGGCCACCATCACCTTCCCCTTGCTGCTGTGGTACACGGGGAGGAAGGTGACCCACACACTGCAGAACACCAGCATGCTGAATGTCAGGAACTTGGCCTCATTGAAGGTGTCAGGCAGGTTCCTGGCCAGGAAAGCCACAGTGAAGCTGAGCAGGGCCAGGGAGCCCAGGTATCCCAGGACACAGTAGAAGGCAGTGAGGGAGCCCTTGTTGCACATGATGATGATGTGGCCATGTTCAGAGTGTGGATCTCTGTCAACGTAAGGTGGATTCGTCCCCATCCAGATGCCACAGAGAGTGAGTTGGACCAGGGTGCAGATGGGGATGATGCAGTTTGGTGCCCCTGATACCAGCAGCTGCCTCATCCTTCTGCCTGGAGCTGTGACCTTAAAGGCTAGCACCACAGTAATGGTTTTGGCCAACACAGTGGAAACAACCACAGTGAAGACAACTGCAAATGTGGTCCACTGGAGGATGCAGCTGGCTGTGCTGGGACGGCCAATGAAGAGCAGGGTGCAGAGGAAGCAGAAGGTGAGGGAGAAGAGCAGGGTGTAGCTGAGAGCCCGGTTGTTGGCTTTGACTATGGGAGTGTCTCGGTGTTTCACAAAGAGCCCAAGGACAGCAGCTGTGAAGACAGTGAGACTCAGGGCAGAGCCAGCCAGAGTCTTCCCCAAGGAATCTGCATAGTCCAGAAAAGTCTCAGACTTTTGGAGGCAATGCTTTCTCTCAGTGTTGGCATACTGATGATCTGGACATGGCGTGCATTGTTCCATGTCTAGCAAGAAATTAAAATTATCATCACTGCAATTTCAGTTTTTCCTTCCTATTCACACCTCTTACCCCAAAATGCTCATGGTTGGTTAAGACAAATCTTTCTCTGTCCTTCAAAGATACATTAAAATGTTGAATAAAAATGTTTCCTTCTTGATATAGACTATGTTGTTTATGATGTCATAGATGATGCTTTATTGTCTTTATTAATCTGATGTATTTCTAAATGCAGTTCTTCCCTTTCACAGATTGGAGTGCTTTCTGTGAAATAAACCTTTGTAAGTGCTGTTCTGTTTTCTCATTCAACCAATAAGCAATTATTGATGAATCGTCACAACTGGGTGAGTCCAAAGACTCAGATAATAGCAGCAGTACTTATCAAGAAATGAATGAATCATCACCCTATATAAGGTTGTAATTTTCACCAAAAGTCTAATTGAATTTTTATTTTAGTACCAGGGATTATACTCATGATCTTGCAATTGTCAAGGAGGCATTTAATTGAATTTTGACTGAATCTTCTTTGAATCAGTAAATTTATTTAATAAATAGTGATTCTTCTTCATTGAATCATCTATCCAGGAACACATTTTGTCCAACAAGCTATTTCAAATTTGCTTTTGTTAATAGCTCCCTTTATTACTCATATATTCCCAAACACTTAAGGAACTTATAAGTATTTCATACTTTAAAAAGTAATAAACATTATCTTATAACTTTCTTCTTGGAATGTTACATGAGTGAATTCTAGCAGAATTTTAACATAAAAACTTTTATTTAGTTACAACTTTATAAATTCATTAATTCATTGAAATTTTATCTGTACACACAACTAATGCTGGAAAATAATTCTATTTGTACTAAATTCTTTGTGAGTTTTTACTTTTATTTCTTTGTTTCAAGATATTCTACTAGCTATGTTTTCCAGTGAATTGCCAGTAAAATTACTGATACGGAGAAATTTTTCTTGTTCTTGTTTGCCATGTTGAATCATAAAATATAATGCCTGCTTTGTATTTAGGGAATATTATTTATGGACCTAAGACAGTTTTCTCCAACTTTAAGTCTAGTAGGAGTTACTGTCATTCTTCCTTTCTAACTTATCAATAGGTCTTCACTATATTCTATCCTTATTCATTTTAGTTCTATTGTCTAAGAAAATTATTGCCCTGAATTATGTTCAGCATAGATAATCTGGTTATTAGATAGCTCCCCATCACAATCTTGGGTAGCCTTCAAAGTTGAATGTAGAATTCATGATTCTACTATAACTTTGTGACAATTGGTGACAGACTTTAGCTCTTCACATAAAATAACTTGTTCTCCACTTTTACATTTTTGTAAAGATGTTTGAGTAATCAGTGTTAGTATGGTGTTAAATGCTTATGTTTCTCCAGTGAGGCATTAAACACTATTAAGATTTGGGAAAGCATGAAATTATGATCTTATATGTTAATTCATGTGATACTGTTGAATGTTTCTAATTTTTTGGATAGTTTACTTTTTTGTTTTAAACCTGTCAATTCCAATTATATATTCATAGATCTAAGTCCAACTATGCATGCATCTTGTATATGATATACTGCGTGCTTCTCCGCACAAAAACTAATATCTCAACAATTATGACTTGTATTTTGCAGGTTTTCCCTTTATTCCTGATCAAAGTTGTTGAAGGTTGTCAGCTTTTAAAGGGAATTGACATTAGTTTTGTTATTTGTTTTCTCTATATATCCACTTTCATAAATTTTCTTCTTATATTCTTTTCAATAGTTTATTATTGAATTTGCCAATTCTTGCTAGTCTCTGATGAAAATCTTCAAATGCAGAACTCAGCCTTTGTTTATTTAAGTATATATGAAGTCCATATATGACTATAAAGTTAGTTTCAATTTCAACCCAAAGGTTTCATAAGTAATATTCTCAATAGACACTAAAAAAGTTATTTTCTAATTAAGCACATGTCATTGAAGAATGTATTTCTTAAAACAGAAGCAACTGATTTTGGGTGCATTTTTCTCTATAAATTAGTATGAAATGCAAATATCAAATTGCCACACATCCCATTTGATTGTACACACCCAAAGTAACTCTCTTGTATACAATATCATCCTGTTTATTATATTTCAAAACTAATTCAAAGTTATGCAAAGCACATTAGAAAACTAAAACACACAAGTCAGAAAAATAAATAATGTACAACAGAGAGGTAATTTTTACCATGTCAACATTTTTTATCATAAATTCAGTCATTTCCAAAGTGATACTTATATGTTATTCAAAAATCTTGAATATTACTTTTGTGTGCCATTTCTTCACCTTGCACAAAATGCTTTCCCGTGTACTTTGTTCTTCAATAATATTGAGCCTTTTTATGTACTTCACCTTCCATGATATGTACTTCTTTAACCAGGTCAAGAAATTGTCATATTCCTTGCCTGTCTGATATAATATAGATGCTATGGGGTCCATGAAAAAATTTATTATACATTGATCAAAAATATAGGTATGATCATTTATTATATCCTATACTCTGTGAATATGACCCTTATAACTGAGTGCACTAATTATTCATGTCACTATGCAGCTGGTGACTGAAAGGTTTGGCTCATATTAAAAATTTTTTGTCTTTTTCCTTTTTATCAGTACCAGGGATTGAACTCACGACTGCCTGCTTGCAAGGCAGGCGCTTATGCCACTGAGCTAAATCCCCAGCCCCTCATATTAAAAATTTTTAAATCTCTTTACAGGAAAAGACACATGGTCACTAATTTCTTTCAAAACTCTTTCCCTTGTTTCCAAGGCTCTGAACTCACCATTCTTTCCAATTTCTGAATCAATGCTGAAAGTCTTTCTGAATTATTGACACATATTCAGGGAACTATGCTCCCAAGTATTTTCCAAGGGAAAAGCAGGCCTCCAAAACAATTTGATGTATCCTTATCCAGCTACTCACTGAATCTGCCACAATACTGCCTCTGACTCTGCCTCAAAGTCATTCCCAGCCAGTGGAATAAAAAGCATGCATCACCATAAATGGCTGGTGACATTAGGCTCAGTGTGGACCTAGAAAAACAAATGAGCCAAGTGTGGTGTCACATGCCTATTTTCCCAACTACACTGGCAGCAGTGGTAGGAGGACCACAGGTTTTAAGCCAGCCTGCACAACTTATGGGGAAAGTTTCTAAAAATAACAAAATGCAGATGGCTGAAAATACATCCACTGACAGACCATGTGTATAGTCCATCCCAGTGAAGCAAAAGGAAAAGACAAATAGTACTCAAATCTAGTTCAGGGAAAGGTGAATATGGATTATCAAGAAATATTATTACAGAAGGAAATTACTAAGAAATGGGAGAAAGCATTCACCTTTATTTTTCCATTCAAGGTTTTACTCATTTCTTGGGTTGATGAGAGGCAGACAACTGATCCAGAAATGTTACTCATACCTGTATCATTAGCAATCTCATTCTTTGAGCAAGGGGTACAATCAAAACAGCAGGCAGCCTTTCCTTCCTGAGGGCTTTTCCTAAATCCAGGATCACAACTCTCACTGCACACAGAGCGGGGCGTCTGAGGACAATCAGATTCAGGTTGGCAACTTCTTTATCTTTTATTTGATCTTTCACAAGCAAACTGACAACTTAATTCATGTTAATGCATACAATCACATATTTACTTGAATGACACGTGTATTTATTGACAA